TGTGGTCCTTCATCTCTGCCCTCTGCCTTGCTGAGGAATTCTAGAGGTGCTTGTTTTAGAGCTTGCTTTGTTGCTTTGACATCCTTGCAGTAGCTTTTTTGCGCTTGTGTTGAGGACCTTTTTGCTCCAAAGCTTGCGTTACTGCTTTGGCTGCCTTGCAATTGGCATTTTGGTGTTTGTATCATGCCCATTGGGCAAGGATACCCTTTTGTCTCTCTAGTCTGTCCTGTGTACTTGGTGAGAAAAAGGACAATTTCTGCACACTCCTCTGCACACAGCAAGTTCTTGTCACATTGTACTTCAGTGTTGGACTGCCTGCTGTTTTGGTGGGACCCATCAGCTTCACCAGCAGCCACTAAGGCATGAAGCCGACCCAAGGCAAAGATTTCGAGACAGCAATGCATTCTGTTTGTAAGCCAAGGGGTGAGCCAAGGATATATACCAACGCTCCATCAAGAATGGACTGGCGCATCACAAGCATAAGTCAGGCAGGCTAGCTTGGGAAGCCCCAGACCTAATTGATTCCTCAAAGCAGCCAAGAACTCGTTGCTGTTCTTTTGATTGCTGCATCTGGCAATGAGAGGGCTCCAATGATTAGACATAGTCCATCACGTTGAAGTGCTTTGGTTTGGATTGCCAAAGCAGCAAGCAATTCTGCATCCAAAAGGTACCTCTGCTCCCCAACACCCTGACATCTGCTGCCTGAGTGTTGCGTATAGACCGCATTCTGTTGTACTACTTGATGCAATCTAAGCCTGCACACAACCTCGCAAGCCTTGCTTTGCTGATCAAGCAAGTGCTGCCAGGGCTATTGTGGAAGGCACCTATTCTGGAGAAGGCATCAAAGAATCCAGACTTACTCGGGGTCTCTTTCGTAACGATCCACTGAGCTCTAAACAACTGCGCATTAAAAGGCGCTCTCTACTTCTATGCATGCACGTGAATCGCTCCTGAGGCCTCCAGCACTTGCTGCTGAAGTGCATCCGCAACACAAATGCAATATGCACCTTGCGTCAGTGAGAGCATCTAGTTGAAGCGCTAGTCAGGTTTTGAGCTCTCTTGGAAGCTCTTGAAGCTGACAGGGGCTTTGCTTCTTGCAATCCACCACGCAAACAGCAGCGCAAAATCAACAAGCAAAAGCAGAAGGCTGGCCTTGTTGATGAGGCAGGCAAGGAGATTGGGCAGGATGATGCTAGTGATGGAATGAATCAGGAAGCAGGCAGAGGGGGAGGTCTGGAAACAGGTCAGGTGGAATCACGAGCTCAAGAAGAGAGTTTTTGGCTCCCCGAGCACGTGGTTGCACCGACTGCGATCTGGAGCATAGGGGCGGTGATCAAAGTGATGGAGCGCCTCTGATAGGACGGTGAGTACTTCGTGGTTGCCGAGCGCGTCTAAAAGCATCGGAATTGTCAGCTCTGTCGCCAGCAGCTGACTGATCTCTTTACATGGCTCTTCAGGAATGGTCTGAGAGGATGGCATGGTGCCATGCTTGCGCACGCCTGGCGCACATGTAGACGCTACTTCGCATGCATCAGCTCTCTCCCAGATCCCTTCATCATCGCCGTCATCTCATATGCCCAACTCAAGCATTGTGAATCACGGATGGAATCTCTTCGCCGCCTTCCACCCTAAATGACTTTGTCGTCCTTTGAACTTTGGCCGCTGACTCTTCTCGGCCCGAAGCAACAAAGACGCACTCTCGTAGTCCCCATCGATTGCGTACACAATCAAAAAGGCCGAGCTTGGCAGGACACGAGATTGCATCGGACAAGTAAGCAGAGGGGATAGATAGTGTGCGAAGCCTTGGATGAAGCAGGATACGAGAGAAGACATTGAGCATGCAATGGGTGGGATAGTTCGCAAAATTTTGCATGGATCAGAGCACGAGATGGACTGGGAAAGGTGTGGGAGGGGTGGAAGGTGCGCGAAGCCTTGGGTGAAGCAGAACACGGGATGGCATTGAGCGACCAATGGGTCGGGAACTGCGCGAAATCTTGGACGGAGCAGGATACGAGATAGCATTGGACGAGAAGTTAGAGGGGTTGGAGGGTGCGCGAAGCCTTGGGTGAGGCTGTCCGACCGCTTTGCCGGTGAGGCTACCATTACGCAACCGTTGCGTCAGGTTAGGACTCATCGGGCGTCACAGTGAGCGACGCGAGGCCGAAACATGATGACAATCTCCTATTGATCTTGATCTTGATGATGATTGAGGCCGCTGATTAGGCTACCACTACACAGAGACTGCGTCGGGCACTGACCAGCAGGGCGTAATGCCCAGTCGACAAGCAGCCTCAATGACACACGGCCAGGCTTGCTGCTAGTCAGCCTACCACCACGCAAGACTGCGCAGGGTTGTGACTGACTATAGCAAGCAGGCCATGTGACACTGCAGCTCTCTCGAGGGCTCTTCATTGATGCAAGACCTCGAATCGACGACGATTCGTCAAGTGGATTGTCCGAGTCCATGTCGAAGCACCACTTCTCGATTGGGGGGAACCTAGCTTGGCGGGAGGGCGTAATTGGCTCCCCGACCTCGTCCCCAAACTCTTGACGATAATCGTGCGCAAGATTGGCGTGGGCGCGGTGGGATAAGATCGGTCGCCCAAGCTCGTCCGTCTCGCCACCGGTGCGAATGATGTATACACACCCCACGTCGCCTACACTGGCAGTTTGCCAGACCAGAGGGAGATTTTGCTTGACGAAGGCATCGCGAGCGGCTTTACCTTCACGCTGAAGCATCTCACGCTCTTGGCGCTGGAAAAACTCCTTGTCGGTGCGGCCCTCTCTCCATCGGTTTATATCCGTCGATGCCCGGCCGTGCTCTTCCAAGGTCATTGGTGCATCTCGCGGTCCTTGCTGCTCTCCCAACGTACCCTGCAAGCCCTCTGATATACCCTGCAAGGTCTCGCGACCTTTTTGCAGAGGGTCGATGGGCTTCGCGTGTCTGAAAGGATAGGCCCGCAAGAGAGGATGAGCCTGCGACCAAGGTTGGCAGCACTTACGTGCTCCGACCACGAGATGCCCGGTTGAGATGACCCAGTCGAGCGGCGATTGGCGAGAGCTCGTTTCGACTTGACGATCGCGGTCTTTCGGTAGCGGTACGAGGGGCCGCTTGCACGTACACGAGGAGCTCGCGATGCTTTTGGAGCCTTGGCCTTCTTGCAGTCGTCCACCATGGGCTCGGAGTCGCTGCTTCCAGTGCGAAGAGGACGAGGAGGAACAGAAATACCTTTGCGTACCCATTCCGTGGTGCGGCGAGACTTAGAATCTGCGTGTGTAGGCGGCGCGGACGCCGGTTCGAGCTTTTTGGTGTCGTCGGCCATAGGTTCCGTCTCTGTTTGTCCAGCGCGAGGGGCATAAGGAGGCGGGGGCAGAGCTGTAGCCTTAGGCTCGATGTCGGGGCGAGGCTTGACATTTTTGCGACGTGGGCGCCTCTTCTTAGCCTTAGTGGTCTTGGCAACTCGAGAAGGTGAGTTCTTTTTGCAAGCGAACGCGCGGCGAAGGGCACAGTGAGCCAGGTGGCGGGGATGACTCTCCAAGATGAATCCAGACTGCCATTTGCGTGCCTCGGAACGGACCACTTCTGCTTTCTTGGCAATGTGATTGAGCCACGTCGGATTAGGAGCACGGATCGACTCGAACTGAAGCGTCGTTCTCAAGTCAAGGCCAAGGTGACTGTAGGAGGCAAGTTTTTCGGTGATAAAGCGATCAAGCGAGTTCAGCATCTGCGTGAGCAAAGAGCTTATCCAGATCCAGCGTTCTCCGGCAGTTGAGCGGGAAGGGCTACTCTTGAATGGGATCTAAGCCACAGGCACATATAAAAGATGATCAGCTTCAAGATTGATGCGAATTCTCGCTCCTTGCACAGTCTGCTCACCACTACGATGGATGCGAGGAACACGAAGAGCACGAGAAGCACAATGTCGAAGAGCAGTTGAGCAGCCTTTGCAAGCCCTTTGAAAACCACAGAAGCGCTCTGGCGGAGCGCAAAAGCCGCAGAGTGAGACACGGTTGACTCCAGATGAAAGCCGCTGTAGACGATGGTCCAGTGTATGATAGAGACAACTACAATGAAGTCGAAGAGGTGCGCGCGTTTTGCCGCGAGGCCGGCCAGAAGAGTCGACATGGCAAAGCTGTGGACAATTGTCAGTAGCGTTGAAAAACGGGTTGTAGAAATGGTGTATGGCTTCGGTAATGCTGAGGTTGAGGTGAGACCGAGGGCGGAGGGTCATTGACTAGCAAGAGAGTTGATGACGATGAGGGTTGGGAGGAGAGATGGGTGTCGATCGAGGGGCAGCCTAAAGGTGGCACCTTCAGGGCCATCGAGGTTTTGCTAGCGATTTGATGCAGAACCGGTCGGGGCAGCTACAGATAGGGCAACATCGAACGTCGAGGAATTCTTTGGGACTGGGCAGACGCCGGTGATCGAGCTCTAGCGTGGCGTGCATGACCGGCATGCCGGACCCGTTGGGTGGAGCGCTCACTCTGCTTGCGCTGTTGTGCGGCAGTTACACTGCCTCCTGAACGACCACGAGGCAGTGTTTAGACTGTTGAGCAAAGTGCTACAAGGTGAGCGTGTAGGAGCTGAAAGATTGCAAGATGCTCTGTGCACCGAGCTGAGGGTCGCTTGGCCTAGGTATGCAGGTGCGCGCGCCCGAGCAGTAGCTGACGCTTAGACCGTTGAGTAGCGCAAAGAGGTGCTCGCGCTGGCGTGCTTCGTACAGTGTGAGTGTGAGCCCGCCAACTGCGCGTGAGAGACCAAGTCCCAGTCGTGGTACTCCAGTGACTGCTTGAAGCATTTGGTCGGAGCGTGATCCAAGTGACCAACTCCAACAAAGTGTGGTGAGGAAGGGAAAGCCGATGCGAAGCAAGATTCGTGATATTCACGAAGAAGTGTGTTGCAAATCCACGAGTCACGAGTCAAGAGTCAAAATCAATGTGTCGGCGTTCCTCACTCCGCTGTCACGTGATGCGCACACATATCCGGATGCATACACACATGTACTTAGCTGGACGATCAACGGATTTGACCTAGTGATAGCAATCCACCATCATCACCTCTGATCGTCTCATGGCCGCATCAGATCAACTTGGAGAAGTTGAACGGTCCCTGAGGCTTCGGACGGTTACCGCCCCAAGCGAGGGCGTCAAGTGCTATCATAGATCCGCATACTAGCACGGAAATGTATGGCGCCGTCACGTCGCGTCACTCAGAGATATATCACACGAGCCTGATATTCAGGTATCAAGGTGAGGTGAAGCCAACATATAGCTACCAGACACGTGAATAGAAACAAATGATTTCCAGCCGATTCATTTGTGTGCGAGCAAGAAACCGTCAAGCGCCCGAGCGACCGCTATTCGCTAGCATACAGATAGAGTGGGTCGAGTAGGTAGTCAACGGAAAGATGTCGACAAGTAAGCGATGACATCGAGTGGTATGTCCCAGACGGTAGTTGATCGAGAGCGATGCGTTGTTCCCGCAGCTCGGACCGAGCGTG